GTTTTTAATACTTATTTTTAAGCCAAAATCCTGTACCTTTTGCTTAAATGAAATCTTACAAAATTGATTACAAAAAAAAAAGTAGCTGCTCCTTTTGAGAGGGGTGGAGGTCGGAAGTTCCAACCTCTGTGAGAGCTCAGCAGAACAGTCAAGGAACACTGATGTACTTGAGCATCCCCCACGCCCTCCACTGTCCTCCACACAACTTCACAAGAAAGTGACCCACAGAGGTATTGCCAAATTCACACACCTGGATGGTGGCTGTACTGGGACTAGAACCCCAGTTTCTTGCTATTGTCTCAGGTTCTTCCTACCATGACTCCTTTAAACTGAAACCTTTAGTATTTCTGGATAAAATGTATTAGGATTCAAAGGTTCTTAATATTTTGTTTTTAATACAACTAAAGCAGGGTAGCTTGGGACATTTCCACTTAAGATGGGTGCTTTTCCAAGCTGTGTTCTGTGGGGCTGCCTCCAGGGGGCGCCAAACTTCCAAGTTCTTGGGGCCTTGGACTTCTGTTTCAACTCTTCTATTGTTGTACACATTGATCTTAGCATCAGATTTCACTTGAGCTAAGGTAAGTGTTTCTTGGCTAAAACTGCAAGTTGGTAAGCCACTGCAAGTAACCTGAGGCAAAAACAATATATATATTTATTTTTGAGATAGAGTCTGTCTTTGTCACCCTTAGTAGAGTGCTGTAGCATTATAGCTCACAGCAATCTAAAACTCGGGCTCAGCTCAGTGCCCGTGCTCGATGGTTAGGGCACCGGCCACATACACTGGGGCTGGTAGGTTCAAACCTAGCCCAGGCCTGCTAAACAAGGATGACAACAACAACAACAACAAAACAGCAGGGTGTTGTGGTGGGTACCTGTAGTCCCAGCTACTTGGGAGGATGAAGCAAGAGAATCGCTTAAGCCCAAGAGTTTGAGGTTGCTGTGAGCTGTGATGCCATGGCACTCTACCAAGGGCAACATAGTGAGACTCTGTCTCAAAAATAACAAAAACAAAACTCTTGGGTTCAAGTGATCCTCCTGACTCAGCCTCCTGAATTCCTGGGAATATACGCATCTGCCACAGCAGCCAAGTAATTTTTCTAGTAGAGACAGGGTCTCATTGTAGCTCAGGCTGCTCTTGAACTCCTGCTCAAACAATCCACCCTCCTTACACACACTCCCAGTGCTAGCCACTGCATGTGGCCTCTTAAAATTGTATATAGGAAAGATCTCAAATCTTTCCAAGCTTTCCTTGTAAATATAAGTAATTTGTAGATTTTATATATATACATATATATATATATATATATATCTTTTTTTTTGAAACAGAACCCCAAGCTATGGCCCTGGGTAGAGTGCTGTGGCATCACAGCTCACAGCAACCTCCAACTCCTGGGCTTAAGTGATTCTTTTGCCTCAGCCTCCCAAGTAGCTGGGACTACAGGCACTCACCACAATGCCCGGCTATTTTTTGGTTGTAGTTGTCATTGTTTGGCAGGCCTGGGCCAGGCTTGAATCCACCAGCTCTGGTGTATGTGGCTGGTGCCTTAGCCGCTTGAGCCACAGGCACTGAGCCTAGATTAGATATTTAAATAAGGTGTTACACAAAGTATGTTATTTGGGAAAAGTTTTTGGTCCCAAATGATTTGGGAAAGTTAAATGCTTTCTGTATTGCAATGTTTCTAGAAACTTAAATAGGCACATTTGGAATCTCCAAGAGAATACAGTGTTATTTCTCAAATGTAATAAACTCTGGAGCCCTTTTGTACAGGGGTGTTTCATTAGATCGGAGGTTTAAGGAACATTAGAACATTGACAATAGTTGGTTAATGGATAGGTTTGTGAATTAAAAGTCTTTCATTTCTCTATTTCGCCTATTTGAGAATTTATTAGACAATAAAGAGTCATAAATAAATGGAGGAGATCTGGCTGTCCAATACATGGTGTGGAAAAAACTGGTTTGGCATATGTGGGTAAATAAAAGTTGGCTCCCCATCAAATACCGGATGTAAAAGTGGACTCCAGGTAGATTAAAAACCTAAATGCTCACGTATAGAATGTAAACCTATAAAGTTAATAGAACAAATTGCAGGAGAATAGTATTGTGATCTAGATGCAGGGAAAGACTCTGTAAAACCTTCACTAAGCAGGGTGTTGTTAGATTAGGGCATCACAGGAGCCTTCCTGGTTTAATGAATGGGAAAACCAAGTTGACCAAACCATTAGAAAATAGTTGGGCAAAGTGCCCTGGTACAAGAATAACTTAGAAAAATCAGTAGCGTTTTCTTTATACTATCTATGACCAAAGTATAGCCAATAAGGTAACGTTTTTGCAACAAAACAGTGGAAACAAACTTTCAAACTGTAATAGAGACATAGATAAGCTAAGGACATATAGGTTCCATGCCCTTGATGGGGCAACTTAACATTTTAGGAATCTCTAGTTTTCTCCAAATCTATAAATTCCATGAAGAAGCTATCAAAATGCCAGCCCTATTTATTTTTATCATAAACTCATTAAACTTACTCTAAAACTTTTGTAGCAGAATAAACATAGTTTAGACAACTTTAAAAAAGCAAAAAGAAGACTTTCTCTACCAAATATTGAGATAATTTAGGCACAGGAAGTTGGGACAAGAACAAACTAAAGAACAGAGACTAACCCATGCCTGCGTAAGAATTTAATAGACAATAAGGTGGCATTGTAAAGAAATGGAGAAACTCTAGCCTGGCTAATACATGGTGTGCAGAAAACTGGTTTGGCATACGTAGGTAAATAAAAATTAATTGATTCCCATCAAACACCACATACGAAGGTGGACTCCAAAGGTATTAAAGACCTAAATATAGGATGTAAAACCGTAAAGTTAAGAGAACAAATTGTAGGAGAATATTATTATGACCTAGAGTCAGGGAAAGACTTCAAAGCATAAGCTATAAAAACTTAAAACCATGAACTATAAGGTAAATATAATTTGGTTACATCAAAATGAATGAATGAATCAAGTTCCGGGAAGAATGCCATGACAATGTTGACATACAATAGGGGAAAGGTACTATTTTGCAGTCCTAACATGGGGTAAATAACAATAATATGCAAGGAGATTTTTCAAATCAATGAGGAAAAGCAGCCCAATAGAAAAGAGGGCTAAAAAGATAGGAAAAGCAGGTCGGGCACTGTGGCTCACGCCTGTAATCCTAGCACTCTGGGAGGCCGAGACAGGTGGATTGCCAGAGCTCAGGAGTTTGAGACCAGCCTGAGCAAGAGGGAGACCCTGTCTCTACTAAAAATAAAAAAACTAGCCGGGCGTGGTACATACACTGGTAGTTCCAGCTACTCAGGAGGCTGAAACAGGAGGATTGCTTGAGCCCAAGAGTATGAGATTGGGGTAAG